ATATGCAATAAAAGAAATAGGCTAAGCGCAATTTTGAAAATGGCCGAATTTTGAATGACCAACGATATTTTCTATTCAGGTACTTGACAAGGAACCTCCATGCCAAATGTGGTGCTTGCATGTCTCACCAAATGAACTATTTTTTCAACTATTCGCTCCACTGAAAGGAGAGCATGTGAACGGGGCTAAGATGAATCAACAATTTCAAGAATATAAATTTATAGATTGAAAAGCTTTGAAGAACACTACGCATTTAATTATTTATTCCATGGAGACTTACTAGATATCTGAAAATTGAAAATTCTTATTTTACAAAATTGTTACTTCTTATTTCACAAAATCTTTAAATTTCTACAGCTAATACTGTGCAGAACTGCAATGCATGTACATGCACTTCAATTGTTTCCTCAAATATTCAAAACATTCCCCAAGGGGCGTAATAAAAAGTCAAGAAATTAGTATCACCGGAAACCTCTTACTGGAATGACTTGGTCAATATTAAATCATCATGAAGGTTGGAGCCATTTTCACTAGGGGATAGACATATGCCACGGATTTAAAATTCTCAAACGCAGATCATGAATTCTTAATTTCGAAATTAATCAGGTGATTACTTCTGTGCAATATATTACCAAGGGCTCAGGAAAAAGGAGGATAGAAATCGTTCTCTTGAGATTATGAATTGTCATCTGTAATATAGCTAAATTATGTAGAACATTAACACTCAAGAATACAGACTACCGATGAGGCTTTGTTGAAGGACCAGTTGATATATAACAAAGGTTTTAAGGATATGAAAGAAAAAAATGTCTCTCTTGAGAGACTAATATTAGTTATTCAATAGGTCATTTATTCGAACAAAAAATGTCATATAACCTCGAAATCTCCTCCAATTTATTAAAATGTTTATTTTTTAACCTTAAAGTCAGATTAGTTTCTTCTTTGGGCAGCGTTCCATTATATCTATACACTGTACATTTATGAGGTAAAATGGCTTTTGGTTTGACACGGCTCTCTCCTTTACTGTTAATAAGCTAATGGTAACATATTTGTGACTGTAAGAACGAACAAGTATGTATGTGAAATATTAGATAGAATTTTAAAAAATCAATCGTAGAAATATTTATATCAACATTCAATTTATCAGGGACTATTTCTCTTGCCCCGTAAATATGAAGGAGTCCTCTAAAAACTAACTAATTTTGTATCGAAATCAAGATTGTGTTTGAGAATTCAGTGAAATTATCTTTCGAACTTTACCTTACTTTTTATGTCAAAGTCTCTGTGAAATCTGAGAAGAAATCCGGCAAGATTTTTCTTAATTGGAACTTTAACCTATCAAAATCCTTACGGATAAATCATCTGGTTTTCTCAACACAAATGTTTTTGTTTTGTAGTGAAAAATTTTACACGAAGCATTACATTTATCGTACGTACAATTCGTATGACGTCGCTTGGAGGCTATTATTTCGAATCAACTGATAAATGCTTTCTGTATTGATACTGACAATTTTCTGCGCCTCTGGCGTTAAAGTACGGTTAAACCGAGGGCATCTAGCTGCAATAATGTAGCCCTCTCCGATTTTTTTTTATCTGATTTTTTCTGGAGAGGGCTACAATTCCACAGCATCTCTGTAATGGTGCAAATATATTTTTTAAATACGGGCGACTGCAGGCAAAATAAATTGTTTTTACATTCAACTTACTTCTAAAAAGGCGAAATTTTTATTCACTGTCAACAACATAGCCCGTTAAACGCGAAAACCAGATAAAATAAATCTGCTTGTTTACCAGTCACTCTCATCAGAAGCCATGACAGTTCTCGCGTGATGCACTGAGACTTGCGCTTGAAAATTATAAATTACTTTGTAAAGTAGATTTTCGGGGTTACTAAATGATTATGCTGTATGGCATCATTAAATATTTATAAATAAAACTATTCCATGTGACATTTTTTCGTAAACAGCGATATTTATGACTAAAATAAGATAATTCATACAGAGATCCGCTCCCTAGAGATCCCTTGTCTCATTGGCTGTCCCAAAATAAAATCGATCAAGGTCAGTAAACATGGCGGATAAATTCAAGTTGTGATGTTGACATACACGAAAAATAACCGATATATGGATTGTTCTGTGTATGTTTGGATTGATTTATGTTTTGCATAACTACATTTTTGGAGTTCAGGTAAGAAATGTCAATTAAATAGCCATTTACTGATAATTTAAGCCGAAATTCGTGCGGGAGTGAATCACTCCCGCACTTGCACCATTACAGAGATCTTTAGGAGTTGTAGCCCTCTCCCCAAAAAAAAAAAAAAAAAAAAAAAAAAAAAGGGAGAGGGCTACATTATTGCAGCTAGAGGGCATCCAAAGATAGTAATTGACCAATCCATTATTTCTTGTCCACCTCCGTTCACTTAGTCTAGATCTAGTATTATGAATTCAACAACATCTAGCAACCAATCACCGTCCTATATCTATCCCCTACCCATTATCCACTATCATATGACATTATACATGTATAATATATATGCTTGCTCTGTTTGGTTACGTCTTGCTTTGCATTGCTACATGCAAGTAATTGTCATAAAACACACCATCGTCGGATACCCACGGGTGATCTCGTCTTTTACGTGAGGAGTAGTAGACGAGATCACCCATGGGTATCCGACGATGAAAAAACACCACCGCAACACAATGCAACTATGGTTATCGTATCATTATTTGGCACTGTACACTTCCTTTTACTTAACATTTGCAGATCCTCAGGCCAAAATAAAAAAATATCTTTGTTTCCCCTAACGCAACCGACCCAAATGAAACGCGCCGACTGGAAAGTTTTTTTTCATAAGATTATTCCAATATTTTTTTTTTTTATATTTATTACCTTTTATAAAAAGAATTCCATCAAAATCCGTTTTTATCAGAACGACTGATTTTATTCTTTGATTGTCAAGCGTTTGTTGGAAACAAAATGGGGCTCACAATATGTGGTCACGGAGGGTTAGTTCGTGTTTTAAAGGAAAGACGACGTATCAACCTTATGCCTTTAGCATATAAGAATCCTACACTCTTGAAATACTTTGTTAATAAAATAAATAATATATAATGATCTATTAAAGGTGTTTTGGTTGTATTTACTTACCTATCTTAAAATTAAGGTACGTATAGAGAGCATGCTTAAACCCGTAGGCCCTCCTCATGATACCCCTCATGAGCAAACAAGGGGCCCACCTTGTAAACACACCAATTTTACTGCGTTTTATTTAGTTTGAGCTTTGATCTAATAAACAATTGCAAGTCATCAATATTCCTATATTTACAATATGGTACAAAAGGAGATGTAATTATGTCTGCATATTTCATCCTAATGATGAATAGAATTCAAACGTCCCTTCTCCATGCCTTTTATTCATGTGTTAAACCTCATGACTTTGACGTTGTGTGTGGCATTTTACCATTTTTACATATGGTTTGTCTCAATTTAATATCGTTAACATACTTTTTCAAAATAGATTTGAAATTATGATACAAGCTCTCTGAGGCGTCCGTGTATTTTTCTTCAAGGCCCTTGAAGATTGGTTGTTTCTTTGATTTGAATTCCTTTGATAATTGTTGGGACAACAACATTCATTTTAACATTTCTCTAGTGAATGGGTCCAAATTTAGAGTTGTACGCGGCACTTTAGGCCACTGAGCTGTGATGGATCTTTTTTGTGCCACTATCTACTGCGACATTAGACATTTTTTTTTTGGTCTCATTTGAAGAACAGGTCTCATCGTCCCGCACTGGGATTTGAACCTGCAACTTAGAAATAGCTCCTTACTTCGAGACTCCAAAAGGAAATGCTCTAGAACCACTGCATATTTTGAAGCCCTGAAAAACTACATATATACTCTGATATTCAGTCTTTGCGTGCCCGAGAATCTTTTAAACAGATGTATTCAATCTCAACAAATTTACTCTAGTATGAGATATTACACAAGTTCGATTGAATAATAGCTGTGAATAAATTTACCTTAAATGTTGAATCTAAACGGCATTTGTATGGTATTCTAGCTGTTTACAAATCGCTTCCTTTTCTAAGGTATCATTCCATCCAATTTTAAGAATGTATTTTCAAATCTGCTGTCAAAAAAAAAATTATTTGCCTACCTACCTACCCAACTTGAGATTTTTGGGTCGGGTTAGGGGAAACAAAGATATTTTTAATGATAGCCTCAGGATATTTTTCCTTATTCTGATGTTGTTACACTGCACTGAGCTGTGTGTTCTGTATTGATATCGTATACCACTGAGACCAATTTTAACTTTTAGATTTTAAGAGGTTCGGAAGTCAATACTATACGAGTAGGAGCTGCCATTTCTAACGTCAAAGCAAGTGCCACTCCACCAGAAGGAACCATGTATATAGTAAGCTTTATTTTTAATCCCCCGCCCCCACCCCCACCCCCCAAAAACTTGTTCTAATTTGCATTATTTAAAAAGGCTTCCAACAGCTAGATGTGCAAGATTTTATTTATGAAATCAGTAAATCTACAGTTTTTTTTAACATTCTTTGAGTTTGTCGTGTAGTTGATGGTCGATGGACTTACAAGTGCATTTCAGTTGCAGAATTTTAAACATACGTTGGTTAGATCTAATACTGAATATTAAATTTTCAACTTAATTTGCTGTATGAAAAATTTTGGTCTCAATATTTTGCAATATGTTTTTCTTTTTTACAATTAGAAATAAAAGTCTGTATTTCTTGAAGAGCAGAGTTCTTTTGAGATCATATGAATAAATATGTTTTTCAAAAAAGCGGATATCTGAAACATCCGCAAACATTCATTTTTGCTATATTATTTTAGAAATTTTCAGAACATCCTATTGCGAGGAAGAAAGTTTTTTAATTCTATCTATTAATTACGATACGAATATGTAAAGTGGAAAAAATTAAATCATTATCATAGTTTAAGTAAGCAACACAATAAATAAAATAAGTAAACGCTTACCATTTTCTTTCCGATTTCGTTTCCTCAGAAGAAAGCACCAATCTGATAGAAGCGCGAACCTGACACTGAATTTATTTATTTCATATTCCAAAGCAGACGCAGGTTTGTCAACGTGAATTATCATAATAACATTTCCAGTTCCCCAGAGCCCCGTTCATATTTCCCAAGATGTGATGTGGCTTGGTTCGATTGTAAATTTTCCGTCCTTATATTTCTATTCGTCACTAGTCGTATATTGCGTGCTGGGCATTCCCTATGTTGATTTCTTGTGTAGTAAATAATCTTTAGAATGTCATCTTGCCATTCTTTTTGGAGATCCTTAGACAATCTGTTGGGTCAGATGTCTTTAGCCATAAGTCTTTCTGTCAATAGTTTTGCTTTTGTAAAAGCAATAAGATTCTTCTTTCTTAAATAGTATATTTTAGTTTGTTTAATCAATTAAAAAAAGAATTCTTCCTAACATAAATTTTAAACAATGCAGACATGTAACTTAAAGACGTACCCTCGTACGTATGTATATTGTACAAAACGGATTAAGAAACAGCAAAAACTTCTTTGTTTTTGTATATATATACATGTACATTATACATTTGCCTCAATGCAAAAAAAACAAAAACAAAACAAAACAAACAAACAAAAAACAAAAAACAAAAAAAAAAAACAAAAACAAAAAAACAAAAAAAACAAAAAAAAAACCCAGATCTGATCGTTTCGTTAATTGTAAAGTAAAAATGAAGCATATTTCTAATAGTCTGGAGCATGTGGCCCTAAAAAAGCGTAAATTTGTTAATAGAATTTGTAATTATATTTTACAATTAATGCAGATTACTTGGGATTATTGTGTACAAATGAACTCTTCCATATATTCAATATCATTGTATTTCTCTTGGGAGAAGGGATAATGAGAATTTTCATTAATTATTTTGATAATTGAAATGTTATCAACGTCACCCTCAGCATCGTTCTCAGAGGGAATTTAAATTTAGATAATAATTAAAATAGACAAAGATAAATAAACACTTCTGTTAATAGGTATTATTTATCTACAGAAGAGGAAAATCACATCACTAATTAACTATTTAAAACCTTTTTTCGTAAACTTATAAGTTTATTAATTATAGCCCTGCCAATTGATTAAATGCGACGAAAATTCCAAGATTAATTTGTTATATCCCTCGTCAACTTGATTTTATTCGAAGATATTTGTTATTGTATTTTAAATATAAAATGATTGGATACAAATTCTTTCAACATAGTGAGTAGTTTCCTTGTATATAAGTATAAATAATTTATGCATTATAATGACACGTGTTCTGGCTATTGATACTATTTATATAATAGTGTACTGTTAGGATTTGACACATCCCCAACAAAAATTTACTATAGTTAATTAACTATAGTAAAAACTTTGATACTTTGATTTACTATGAAACTTTACTCTGGAACTTTTTTTTGAGATTTGAAAACTTAAAATCTCTTGAATTCGATAACAGTGATGTAAAATTTGGAAATAATATGTGAATATTCAAATATAGTTCCATTTAATATAAAATATGTGAATGTATGAATTGAAGAGCAAAAAGTATAACATTCTGAAATCCATAGTAAAAATACTTTGATTTACTATAGTAAAAAAAAACTTTGATACTGTAGTAAACTATAGTTAACTATAATATTTTTTTGTTAGGGATATGGTGCACGAGCGGGATGCCATGATAACGCGCTCAATATACACAGAGACCGTGATTAGCGCTACTTGTTTACGGGGGGGGGGGGGGGATTTGTTGGAAATTAGTTGATACTGAAAACAATTTTATGCGTATTACGACAGCGTTTTATATTTTTGGTAAAATGTTTTATATAATAATCCCCCTCAAAACTTTAATTCTAGTTCTTATGTGAAAGAAAGAAACAAACGGAAAGAACTATAAATGTAGAAAGCTTAACAGAACAACAAAATGCCCCTGTTCATGTATCGTGTCAGATTACTTTAAGATATTGATTCTAATAAAAGCCTAAAAAACATATTTCAAATGAATTGCAGTTGTAAGAATTACAATACAAACTTAAAATAATCTTACCATTATCCCTTCTTTAAGCAGAATCCCTATCTTTGTTTACCACTCATAATAAATGTTAATAAATAAATCCAAACCGTTCCATAGTTACATGCATCCTCCACACACTTGAATCAGGGCATTCTTTTGGGAAATTTAGAGAAGAGACCTTTATACAATTTCTGAATCAAATCTACGATGACCTTGACCCTTGAAATATGACCTTAAATCAAGATAACTACAAACCAAATTTAGCAGGGCGTCACATTAGTTTTTGGGCATCTTGAAAAAGCAAAAAGGTTAAACGAAAAGACTTAAAAACGATTAGATATGGAAATAGATTGCCATAACAGTAACAAATTCAAGTAGAGATGATACGAGTCACTAGACGTCAAATCAATTTATCATATAATGACTCATATCATTTATTAAATAATACTCACTAAAAGCTTTTATGTGTACAATACAAATTATAAAACTACGAAAAATTCTTAAAAACAGGTTCAAGCATTGGAATATTACTCCACTCTTAAGAAATCCAGTCCGTCCGGGAAATAATCCCAAAGGTTAACAAGCTGACCAGGAGAATTGAAAATGACTTTAACATTTAATCCCCCCCCCCCCCGTCCCGACAGTGTAAAAGAAACGCAAGTATTTGTAGCAACTTTCTGGGTATCTTTCTTATATTGGTAGCAAGTATTCATTGTTAGTATCGAGTATTACATGTAGTAATACTCGATCAAACACTGACTGGATTCATTTGATCGAGTATATTCGAATAACAAGTAAATATATCAAGTAACTAAGTATATCGAGTACTCATTTTGAAAAAAAAAATCACTCCTGTATCGAGAATTCGAATAACCTGCCCAGTATAAATTGTATTGAGAGTTAGGATAACTCTGTCAAAACTCAAATTTAAGACGATTTTTAGGAATACCTGGTCAATGGAGCAAATACTCAGTAATCAGCTATGATTACGAAATTATAATATATTATTGTAAACATTGTAAGTTTTGGTTTTTAATCAAATATTAAAAGCCACCAATATTCGCCCTTTTATTACCGTCTTCCTTGGAAGACGGTGTACAGAGTTGAAGTATCTTACAGTCTTCGGACTATGCACTTCCTCTCTTTTGTGATTGGTAGAAATTGCATGATGAGAAAATTTTCAATTATTTTATTGGTTGAAATGCTTTTCAAGGCAAGGGAGATAATTTTCTGATGATCTAATTTTCTTACGACTTAATTTTTCAAGATTTTCAGTCATAAAAAAATATGACAAAACGAACAGTGGAAATTGGCAGTAATTAATTCGAAATAACATGCTAGTTTTTTAATAGCAATTACCAAAAAAAAAAAGTTTCTATATTTTCATTGTTAACAGAATTGAGTCGCCCGCGTGGCGCAGTGGTTAGAGGGGCTGCTCTAGAGTCGCGAAGTAAGAAGTTGATCCTTACGTCGCGGGCTCAAATCCCACTGTGGGACGTGGAGACCGCTCCTTCGGATGAGACCGTATAAACCGAGGTCCCGTGTCGCAGTAGGTGCTGGCACGAAAAAGATCCCTCACTGCTCAATGGCCGTAAGTGCCGAGTATAGGACAAAATTTGCAGCTGTCCACCGGCAAGTGGTGGTGTCTCCATATGAGTGAAAAATTCTCGAGAGGGACGTTAAACAACATACAAACAAACAGAATTGATCTTTATTGCATGCAAGCTTTACAGTTTGTATGTATTCTTTTTCCCTTTGTTTTGCACAGTCTTTCTAATCTCGGCCGCAATCGGCACACCTCGGGCGATTCGCACCTCATCTACATATCACAAAGGTGAAGGAATCAGCACAGGTTTGCCGAATGATCTCGGCAGCAGAGTCGAAGTTTACAGAGACAGCAGCCGCGCCGTGCATCTGTTAACCTTTCACTTGGTAGGGCTTATGTCAGAAAAAAAAATGAAGAAATACAAAGCCAAGAAATTTTCAAGACTTATACGGCCTGATGGGTTTAGGTCAATTTACTGTTTAAGGTTGTTGCTAAAGACGGTGAGCTTTTTGAAAAAGCTCCACTTGTTTTGTACATAGACCACACTTTCATACTTTCATATTTCTTCGTACTGGGTGTTGGAGAAAATACCATTAGACAATAACATCACAAACCTTCCTTTGCTTGCTTTAACTGTAAAGCTGTATCATCCTGAGAGACATCGGAGATCAAACTAGCTCAAATTTTGACACGGTTTTTGGTATTTACCAGCTATGGTTTTGAAGAGCTTCCATCAAGACAATTTCCATCAAGACAATAACCGAAAAAAAAAAATAATATTCAATCAAACCATTTAGGTTAAATTGTATCCAGATGTTTTCTGTCTCCCAATAGTACTAAATAATGTCAAATAAATGAATGGATCTGTTGACTGTTTAAGTGATTTTATAAAACGCAGAGAACCTGATGCCATTTTTTTAAGTAATCAGCATTAAAACATGTTGTTATCGGTATTGAATAATATCATTACACTCGGAAAAAAAAAGATTATTGTCAAAATCAATCATATTTTCAGAGTAATACTGGTATAGTGGTATCTATTTTTAATCATGCACTTGTACTAATGTAGTGCCAAATTTGTAATATTTTGTGTACAATTCTTCAAATAAACTTTACAATAAAAAAAAGAGTTTTAAAAAAGTAAAAGTTGGGTGGTGAATGTTTTAAAATATGATTACATGTACATGTACAATTCACACAATTATTGGCTAAGGAACTAACAAACCTTTTCTAATAACTAATGAAGCAGAAGCATATCAAACTTGATATTTTTCATATGATCGAGTGCGAGAGTTGCAATTTCAGGATTGTGAATTTTTTTTTGTAGGAAAATTTCCCCAAGTCTCTAAAGACACCATTTAAAAGAAATTTACAACTCGGCACTACGTAAGTTTTGTATGCGATCGAGAGGAGACGTTGCATGTGATATTTCGCTAAATTAACAACGATAAAAAGGACAGGCAACTAGGTCCCATTAAATCTTCCTGATTTTCAGCAATCAAAGGTTATTTCCTTGTCGGATCATTCCAGGATTTTGCCATTGTCCGGTCAGATGGTACATGTACCTGATGCTGCGCAGAAAAATATTGTTTAGTGATTCGTCATCATAATAGATTTTTTTTTTGAGTATGATGTTTAAGTTTTTTAAAGACTAGACAATATATCTTAATTGAATTCATGTCTTGTCGTTAGTTTATCAATAATTAAGTACTTCAATTGAAGATAATTACTTACGTGAAAATATCGAGTTAAATGTAACAGTCTGTATAGTTAAGATGGACAGAGCCATCGATTTTTTTCAAATTAGGAGTTGTCCAGCCGTCTTGATTACATCGTTTATTAATTATACGTTATCTGTATCTGTTCATTAGCGTGCAAGAGACAAAAAATGAAGCACTTCATTGTTGCAAACTAAATTCATCTTCATGTTGGTCATGAAAAATAAATTTTTATATTCATAAAATTACATTCAACGATCACGCAAATTCTTTTTTTTTAACAATTTCAAAGTTAATCTTCTCCATTAGAGTCTGTATCATTTCAACGATAAGAAAGGTTGCGATACCTATGAGATATTGAAGTGAACCCAGTATTCTGTGTATACGGACAATCTTTTGTTTCAAGAAAATATTTAATTTTTTAGTGATTAAATTTAAAGATTAAAATATTTAAAGCGGTACGCGTCTTTTCTCCTTTACCATATCCTTGAATTAGCCTTAATGAGAATGAAGTGACAAATTTTCCCCAGACGAAACGACATTTCTTCTGGACTACATAATGTGGCAGGAAATATATCTACGTGTAAAAACAAAATGACAGTTTGATATTGCCTCCAGAACTTTTCTTTTTTCTCTCACGAAATTTTTCAATCAGATGACGTGCAATATACCACTGTCATTAGCCATTTGAGCTGTGTGTTGATCATAGTTGAACTGCGGAAGAATGGAAAGTGAATAGCGATGTAACTCAAGCAGATTTTTCCGTTAAAAAAATCTTCTTTGATTCAGACAGGCTTTAATTAGTTTTGGTACTCCTACACCTTTTGTAAAAAACGCAAAAAAATTAATTAAGATTTTGTACTTTAATGTAGACCAATGCTAATTGAATCAAAAGGATATACCAAGGGGTACATTGATTTAGGAAAATTTTGCTGTTTTGGCAAAATTGATAAGTAGTTTATTCTACAGTAGATTACAAGTAAAATTAAAAGCTTAGAAGATAAAGGGGAAAATCTCGAATCTTCACTTAATGTAAAATGGCAACAGACGCATAACAATCATAAATATTTTAATTAACGTAATATATATCTGTTCGTGTTTCTGAGTAATTATTTATGTATAACTGTATGCATTCATTTATCTAATGCATGTGATTTTAAAAATATATGCCAATTTATTTACAATAGAAAAAGGATAAGACTTGTGTAACATCATGCGCGGATCTAGAGGGGGGTTGGGGGGTCTGGACCCCCCTAGAATTTGCAGAGTTATTAAAAGTAAATACTGAAGCTTTGGACCCCCCCCCCCAAGAATGCGTTGACCCCACCATCACCACCACGAAATGTTTTCTGGTTTTTAAACGTTTGGGAAGGGAATTTAGGTGTTTCTTTCTTTGTTTGTTTATTTTTGTTTGTTTTTGTTTGTTTGTTTGTTTGTTTTTTTTTTTTGTCTTTTTTTTTTAATGTTTTTAAGTTGTTTGTCAAGAAATTTCTGGTTTGGAATTTTTTTTTTGACGCCCCCCCCCCCCCCACCATTGAAAAAAAAAATCCGGGATCCGCTGCTGAAAATCATTCTTGAGCATTCATTCTTTTTAAATATATATAGCTTTATTATAATAACTTTAAACATTGTGTAATACACGAAGATTCTAAATATGTTCCAGTTAGCTTGAACTTGCATTTATTTTTATCCCGTACGGAACCTCTAAAGCATATTTTGCGAGTTACTTCCCTTGTAATATCACCCAGGTAGATCGATTGTAAACGTACAGGTGTGACGTCCATCCTAAGACAGGGAAAATCAACCAACAGAGCAGTTTCTTTGTCATGTAGTAAGTATTTTTGTTTCATATAAAGACAAAAGTTGTTTCTAAACGAATGTATGTAACGAAATCATAAGTATAATATAATATGGATGACAGGTCTCGTGTTACAAGGACGTGTCACTCGGATACTGTACACATTGTTTTTTCGTGACACTAGGATTTTATTTGTGCAATGCCTAAAAGTCCATCAAATGAAGGACAAGGACTGTTTACTTTACATATAGTGACTGAACTTTTGAAGTTACCTTAACCGTTTTGAAATATTGCGAAGAACGCTCTATATGACAGTGTATTTATGCCCAGAAGCTATCGCAACCATTAATTTGTACTGTATGCTGATCTTTATCTCGAGTAGTTTTTGGCCGTCATTCAGTTTTAAACATGTTTCCATACGTAGTTTGTCTTTTTAAAAATGTTGAACTCTTACACCATACAAATTTATGCAGCTGTATTTATACTATATAATCATATTCATGTATAGTATATTCATCAGTTCATTGTACTTCCTTTAATGATTTATGCCTATGTATGGTGGACCATCAACGAATTAAACGAATATTTTTACGCAAATAACACAATCTGACTAAAGCCAGATCTCTATTTACGCCATGCGACAGCGTTAATAGGGGTCTGGCTTTAGTCAGATTGCAAATAACACATGGAATTATTTTCATATCGTCTTTGTGGTTAAATAGTACACATATCACTTTTTCACTTTTTACAAAACTAATTTATGGTTATAGAAGATTCTCAGCCTCCTTCACATTGCACATCTGTACACTTGTAATTCTAGCTGCGTTTTAGATCGAAGCGGCTAACCTAGTAGCTAAGTGGTACATCCATTCTTCAATAATATCCCCAATTAATGCTTGAACAAGTCTTATTATTTTTTTTTTTTAATAAAGCTGAATTTGACCAATTTTTTGTTTTCTGATGTTCAGTATAGAACGCTAAAGTATGATTCTTGAAGTCTGACATGAATCCGATATCAAGTTAAAATTTCGGTAAAAATATCGTTACGGAAGTTAATCGTTACGGAGGTTAACTTCCAGCAATAAAAGTTGAAATTCTAGGCAATTATAGTTAAAATTAAAGTTTGTGATAAGATGTAAAATAAAAGTATGAAGCATATCGCTCCCAAAATAATAAAAATGTTTTATCTTTAATGCAAAAACATTTCTGAATTAATGACAGACAAGGAATTCATGTATATTTGCTAAGATAAATTCTCAGTAGGAAGGGGGAGGCAATGTACACAAACCATTCGTCAAGTGCCTGTGATCTTGTCTACTACTCAACTATAACGAAAATCCTAAATACCCAAACAAATATACAATAAAAATTTGAAATAAAACCAAGAAATTCGTGAGTCGTTTGAAGTTTACTAAAACTGTAAACTGGTCATGTAAAATGTCGTTCAGATAGCGTCGCATGTTGATTGGGTTCAACACCATCTCTTGTTAAATTTAATGTCCATATTTTCCTCAATTTCGGGTCCTTAGAAAATAAATATATACTCGTGTCTTGTCCCTATTTATTGGTACAGTTAAAAGTGCACACGGCAACATCTCGCCAACAATAATGTTCCAAAAACCCGGCAATGTAAAGTTTGAACTTTCTATTTCTCGTTGTCTCTTATGACGTCACGCAACACGGGAGAGAAGCGATTTACAATAAGCGATCCACTTGTCACACAGGTAAATTTAAACGACGATTAGTGAGGTAATTGGTGGCAAAAAATTAAACAGACTATATAATGTTATTCATATTGTTCCAAAGGCTGATAATCATGAATAATTTTGGATTTTCAAAAAAATATTATACTTGACCTTTAAGAATTTTTATGTCGCTTACTAATTTACCGTTGTAATATCTAAACTATAATTTTAAAGATCGATTCAAACTCTAAGTCTTAACAGATACATACGTGGTTTTATATATACTTGGGTTGATCCAAAAGTAAATGTCACAACTGATATAAAATCTTTAATAATCAAATTTTATCAACAAAATTTGACATACTAATACACCTATCTTTGTATTTTGATTTTTGCCTTGAAATTTCATTCGATTATATAAAAAAACTTTTTAAAAAATATTTAAGGAATAACTGTCTAATTTTTTGGTTTCATGATGTGATCAAGCAATTGGCTTGCGTGATAATTTGCATGAACTCCGAAGGCGTTTATGCGTTTCTGACAGTTATTCCTTGTATTTACATGCTCTTGAATCCATAAATTCACGTGCTACAAGCCCCGCCTACTTTTGTCTCTCATCTGACCCATTCCGCACGTAATTTCATTAAACCACGCCATTCGATGAACCAGTAGCTTTACGTAGAAATCAGATATTTTTACAATTTGTAGTTTTATCTAGGCCAAAGAAATTTAAAAATATAATATTAAGATGTAAACAACGTCAGATTTTGTCTATCGCCGCACGGCAGGAATGTTACTGACGTCGTTATGACGTTACTTTTCGGTACTCATTTTCAGTTCATCCGCTCTCTTTTAACCTTTCACATGCTTCTTTCTATAATAATCTTTACTCCTATTTTGCGATAAACTGTCTTATTTTGAGTTGTAGCATTAAAATAATTTAATCTTTGTCCAAATAATATTTCTAAATCCATTCCTTTTTTGCGTAATTCTTCTGTACCATCAGATTTAAAATTAGTGCCTAAAAGAAACGTCATAACGACATCGGTACATTCTTGCCATGCGGCGATAGACGAGACCCAATGTTATTTTTATTTTAATATTTTATGAAGTTTTGCAGATATCTGATTGAAATTTTAGGGCATAAGTCAAAATGGAAAGAGCTATTAGAATATTAAATATCGTTGAAAACTTTCGATTATTAAAGATTTTATAGCAATTGTGACATTGATTACTTTTGGATCAACCCTCGCGTACTCTGATTTTTATTTAGTTAATTTATATATTTTTTTTTGTAAAAATAGATATTTCAATGAATTTTATTACATATAAGGTTTGGAAAATATTCAATTCATGTATTAAGTAAACCTTATTTCTCAAATACTTTAGATTATCTTCTCTTTTTTTTTTTTTTAGAGGGAAAAAGGAAAGTGATGTTTGCTGTAATTTTTCTTGCGGGACTTATTGCCCCGGAAATCGTCTTGTCTGCTAGTGATGACTGCCCTTTAAACTGCACTTGTAAAGACAACCTCGTGAAGTGTCATGGCTGCAATTCAGTCCCGCAGCAATTTGGAAATTTTTCGGTCATCGAAATCTTGGATTTGTCGCACAACAACCTAACCTCCTTAACTAAAAATGATTTTGAAAAGTTTATAAACCTACAGAAATTGTATTTGAATGAAAACAAAATATCAGACATTGAAAATGGGACCTTTTCGTCTCTGGTTCACTTGTCGGTGCTGAACCTTTCATGCAACAGCTTAAGTACAATAAAGGAAGGCGTATTTTGCAATCTCAAAAGTTTATCGATCCTGTACATGAAAAGAAATTCGATCGAGAACCTGTCGTTAGACGTATTCCACAATGTTCCAAAATTACAATATATTAGCTTGGCCGAAAATGGACTGTACGGTTTTGATGCATGTACATTTCAAATTAGGAGTTTGCGCATTCTGGTTCTAGACAACAACAGTCTGTCATCCATTCCATCAAATATCTTCAACTGTACTCCAAATCTCCATACCATTAGATTGAATCTCAACAGAATAACGCATATATCGGATTATACATTTTCAAACTTGCCCAATATTTCAAGTGTTAGTTTAGACTATAATCGAATAACTCATCTTGAAATTTATTCTTTTGAAGTCAGACATGATGATCCTAACTCGTTAATGGAGTGCCAAATACAGCGGTTCACAATAGTTGGGAACCAACTCACTGAAGTGCCACAAGCTTTAGATGATCTTGTATATGTTGATCATTTAGATATAAGTGGCAACAGTATCACGCGAATCGAAACGCAGGTTTTTTATAGACTTCAAAAACTTCGCTATCTTCGAATTTCTGAAATGCCACTTCTGAACTATATTGCACCATTTGCATTTGGAGGTCTTGATCTAAGAGATCTACACATGACAAGAAACCCTAAACTGAGAAAGCTCCCCGAAAATCTACTTCAGAGCATGAATAACTTAAGAACAGTTATCATTAGTAATAATGCTCTTCAATCTGTACCGAAAAACTTGTGCAAGTGGCATATGTTAATGGATATGATGATGAATGACAATGACTTTATCTGTGGTTGTGGCGTTCACTGGCTTCAGACATATAGTGGATGGGGTACTCCCCAAACTCGGCAACATGCGGAGAATCTAAAATGCCACAAACCTGGAAACTCCGAAAATGTTCTCATCAAAGATTTTGACTTCGACCACCTTGGATGTACATACACGTCAGTAGTACATAAATCACGTGTTCTTGTAGGACTTACAGCCGCTACTTTGGTACTGCTGACTGTATGCGTGATTTTATTTATGTATCGCAACCGGAAGCGAATAATCTTCCGGTACAGACAGTTCAAATACAGGCGTCACACGGACTCTGCTTACACAATTGAACATAAATACATGTACAGTGATCTTTCTACAAATGGGGATGTACATGGAGATGTCCCCACAACAAAAGACAAAGATAATCTTCTAACATAGTATTATACAAGTACATGTATTTTGTTTTTATGCCCCCGCCATGAAATGCCGTGGCATATAGTGTTACTCTGTTCCGTCATTCCGTCATCATTCACTTTCCATTCAGTTGCACACATTCAACTCAATTTTGACATATGGATACGTCATAGGAATACGCAGGTCAAGTTCGAATTTGGTCATGGTACGATGATTTTTGACAAGAGTTACTAGTATCCCTCTTGAACTTAGAAAAAAAAACAAGAGTTTTTCAATTTCCACTCTCTACCTTTTGTAGGGATGTATGTAAAAGATTGAAATTGCATAAGCACGTATTTTATCAGAAAATACAGGTCAAGTTCGAATTTGGTCGTGGTCCAATGATTTTTGACACAGATATCCCTCTTGAACTTAGAAAAAATAAGAAAATTTCAGTTTCCGCTCACTAACTTTTGTAGGGATGTATGTAAAAGGTTGAAATTACATATGCAGGTATTTTAGAAGAAAAAAACAGATCAAGTTCGAATGCAAATTTAAAACTAAATAGGGCATTTGAAATTTTGGCTTCCTACGGGGGCTTTCGTGGCGTTACGACACATCTAGTTTTTGTAGCATCAACGAAACATTCCATTTTATTTACATTTGCATGTATGCATTAATTATACTTATACTTGATAAAAATTGAATCATTGAATTTGTCTTGGAAATAACTTTTTCTGGTTATATTGCTCAGTATCTGAAATTTAAGTAAACTTTAATGTTTTTAACAAAATGTGCAAGTCTGTAGGTAGACTAAAGTATATGTTAATATTCAAGTCTGTAGACTAATTACCCAGGCCAGCACATGATTTTATTTATGTTTTCTTAACGTATCAAGGCATTACTGTATATGTATTTTTCTTCTGTATATAATTTTTTTTTTTAAAGTACTTTACAATTCAGTTATGGTTGTTTTACACAATTTATAGCATTAAAGCTTTCAATTTTTCTGCTGGAACATATCTTTGTGAATAAATCTAATGGTTTTTACTAGGGATGTCAACGAATATTCGAACATTTGAATATTCATTCAATGAATTGATATTCGAATATAAATTTAAGATTCGAATATTCGCTGTTTTTCAGATTTCATAAAAAGAAGTACTTTGATTTAAATTTTTTTATTAGAACAGTGCTGGAATTCTTCCTGTTTAATTTACTAGCAATTAATGTCGATCTATACTTTCTTATCTTATAGATCTACTAAATTATTTTGTTTTGAATAAGGTGTTAAAAAATTATACAATAATGCTTTATGTATAATACAAAAAGTACTTTCATAGTTTTTATTAGTTAAATACGATCGGATCTAGAATAGAGGACAACAAGATTAAAACCTTCTTAGAATGTGTACAAGACGTGAAGACTTACACTTATCAAAACAAATTTAATTCATCATTGAATGAATGTCCGATAGAATTAGTCTGTAATTAATATTTTAAAGGGCTAAATTTCAGTATAAATGTGTAAATTACTTGATTATCTGGGGTTGTACATAAACCTGAATTTTATATTTATCATCGGGAAATTAGTTAATTACGTAGAAAAATTGTCTATGGAAATCTTTGTTTATATTTTAAAAACATTGTATCAAAGATAATAATCATATCTTTTATTAGGCTGATAATTGCAATTAATTACACGTATTGAAGTCTAAACAGTATACGACTATCTTGCCTTTGGTAAGACGACTGGTATCTCAGTTGGAACTACTATAAATACACACGTATCATTTGCTAAAATTATACTTTTTCTACATTTAAATCAATTATTTATTTAAAACATTGACAAACATCAAATGGAATCCGTTATTGTACAACTACAAAAGTCTTCATACATTTTTTACAACTACTTAAGTCTTCATACATTTTTACTTACAATATAAGATTACCTACTATGAACTTTTCATGAGAGTAGGATATGCATATTTAAAATAAACCAGAATTAATATATTTTATCGAATATTCGAATATATTCGAATACTTTCATCGAATATTCGAATATGAAAAATGGACAAAATTGACATCCCTAGTTTTTACATGTATTTATGGATTCCTGTTTGTAAAGCTATGTACATTTTCAATTTTTTGTGGAACTAAGAAACATTTATTCTGTGTCATTCATTAACTTTATGCTCTATGGCATGTTAAAAATTTGAATTTACAAGGTTGGAGTAGATACAAAATTTTGTATTTATTCCCACCTTTTAAATTCAAAATTTATAACATGACATCCATTTTATTGCATGTAATGCCTTGTATGTTACGACATATGAAAGTGTTTATTTTGAAGCAAATTTTCATTAATTTTTTGTTTTACAATATATTCTTTTTCATTCCTTTTTAAACAGACTGCATTCATTTATGTTTATTCATGTGGATGGAAACAATTTTGTACGACAAAGTCAATATGGAACTTTTATGAAATTAATTTACAACGATATATGAATCTTTTATTATGCCTTTTGCTGATATTTGGATTTTAAGGAAGTTGCAATTATAATGAAATCTAAGTTCTCATATGAAGCAAGATCAGCTGACATGAAATGGTCATATACAATCATAGAAAAGAAGTTTTAGTTTTCCTTTCAAGTTGAGAGATGATGATCCTTTGCAAATACCTATTCACTCTATTTTTCTACAAATAAGTTTATCTATGAATTGAAATTGAAAACAAGATATATTTTTCATGCTGTCCAGTGGCCCTGAAATATATATATATATATATAGAGAGAGAGAGAGAGAGAGAGAGAGAGAGGATATTCAATGTTTTGTTGTTGGATATGGAATTTATTTCACAAGTGGGACAGGATTTTTTGATATTTTCACGAGTGCGAAGCACGAGTGAAAATATAAAAAAATCCTGTCTCACGAGTGAAATAAATTTCATATCCAACTACAAAACATTGAATTTTCTGTTTATTACATTTTCTTTCATTTTTCTTTGCCTCTGTCTTTTCTAATAACACAGTGTTGTAGGCTGTGACGTCATAGCTTAGGAATTGTGAGATTGAAAACATTGTAAAATTGTTTTTAACAATACATTTGGGAGAAAATTTACAGTTTTAGTCTCTATTAAGATGGTTTAGTTACTATTTCTATCTTATGACAGACCAGAAATCATTTCTACTTTCTTTGATATCCTTTCACACTGTGAGAGAATATCACTTTGGTATCCTTTCACACTGTGAGAGAATATCACTTTTATTCAATGAATAAGTCACAGTATTTCACTGTTGAAAATGTAATAAATAGAGAATATTCAATGTTTTGTAGAAGAATATGGAATTTATTTCACAGGTGGAACAGGATTTTTTGATATTTTCACGAGTGCAAAGCACGAGTGAAAGTATCAAAAAATCCTGTCTCACTAGTGAAATAAATTCCATATTCATCTACAAAACATTGAATTTTCTGTTTATTACATTTTCTGAGATTTTCCCTTTGCCTCTGTCTTTTCTTTACTCAGTGTCATGGGCTGTGACGTCATAGTTGAGCGGTTGAGACGTCATAGCTAAGTGATTGCGAGATTGAAAAAAGTAAACATGGATTTTTAAAGACATATTTGGAAAAACTTTGGCAGTATAACTATTAGTCTATGTCAGGGTGGTTCATTAACTCTATCTTATAATAGACCAGGGATTTTTTTAAAAAAACATTCTTCATGAAGGGAAGGAAAATTGTAAGTTTTGCCATACTTCTGATATACACAGAAATACCATATTTTGATATCCTTTCTCACTGAGTCAGAATATCACTTTTATTCAGTAAACAAATTACAGTATTTCACTGTTGAAAATGTAATAAATATATATATTTGTACTTGAGCAATTTGAAAATGCATCCATTCAAAATGTGTCCTAATGTAGTTTGCAGTTCTTATTCAGATTTTGCAGTGAAGTGCATTTCATCAGTGTTAAGACGCGCTTCCTGTTCTTAAAATATTTTTTGTCAGTTTACTTACTGTTAATACTTACTGTTAAAATTGCATAGGTTGGTCCTTTGAACTGTCTAAAACTGTCCTTATAAAGTTATAAATTTCCTAATTTTAGCCCTTAGCTCAAATTTCTTAATTTTGTCCTTAAAATTCGTCCTATTGTTTTGCCAAAGAGTGCTGGACTGCTTGACTTTTTTTTAATATGTCAATTTATACGATTGTAGAATTCTTTATTTTTCAAAAGTATAGCTTCTATATATTTGGCATATTATTTTCTATTACATATGCATATGTGCATTTTCTTTATTTAGCTTTTTTAAAATGACAGATTCTGATATACTGCGTATTCGGAAAGAAGGGGTTTATTGTATGCAGGATAAAACGCATGAAAAGGGTATTTGGTGTATTTATAAATTAAAAAAGAATAGTTTTTAAAGCTTGTAAGTTTTGAATCTCTAGAACATCCCAACTACTCTTCCAGCTGGATCTCCCAATGTTTTGGATTTTGCAATAAATCTGTAATGGTAAATAAATATAAATCGTAAGGTACTAAAGGGATTTATAATGAAAAAAGTATTTTAGGTACAATGTACTAGCATTTAAAATTGTATTCGTATCGAAATTGACAGACAACGACCTCACCCCAAACTAAAAGATAAAGAAACATAGGAGATTGAATCATGATACAGATAAGAAAACTTGTAAAATATTTTTTTTCTCTTTGTCATCTTAATCACTCTATTCGTTGCCTTTAAACGAGAACTTTTTTGAGATTCATCTACTTTTATATTGAAAACTTGCTGTTTGAGATTAAATAAATTTTGTTTTTGTTTTTTTAATTTTTTTGTCTTTCTCTCCTGACATCGATCTGCTTATTTAAGAGTTCTGCAAATTGCAAATTAAACTTCTTGCAATCCACTATGGTCAAGGTTTTTGCTTTTTGGGAGGGACATGCATATATATATATATATATATATATATATATATATATATATATATATATATATATATATATATATATATATATATATATATATATAGAGAAAAAGAGACAACTGTGTATCAGTAATTGACTTTGCAGTAAGCTGATCTTTTCTGATATCAGTTTTTACATTATTCAGAAAGTCTTGGAATCATTGCGTTTTTAGAATTTCACTTTATACTGCACTGGCACGTCATGGAACGTATTTGTATGTTGAAGATCTGCATTTAGTCAATGTATGTTATCTTCTTTGCACAAACTAACTTACAAAAAGATTCGAAAATTTAACATAGATCTATCGATTATAAATCATCGAATCGACCTAGTCGCCCGCGTGGCGCAGTGGTTAGAGCGTCTGCTCTAGAGTCGCGAAGTAAGGAGTTGATCCTTACATCGCGGGTTCGAATTCCACTGTGGGACGTGGAGACCGGTCCTTCGGATGAGACCGTATAAACCGAGGTCCCGTGTCGCAGTAGGTGCTGGCACGAAAAAGATCCCTCACTGCTCAATGGCCGTAAGTGCCGAGTATAGGACAAAAGTTGCAGCTCTCCACCGGCAAGTGGTGGCGTCTCCATATGAGTGAAAATTTTCGAGAGGGACGTTAAACAAAATACAATCAATCAATCGAATCGACCTCAATTTGTAGTGCAAAGATATGTCATAGAAAAGTGATAGCTAGGTAGGAAAAACTTGAGTTGTCATGTTTTTTTTTTTTCCATTTTACTAGTAATCAAATTTTAAAGATTCCTTTCTTTTGCTTAATGACAAAGCAGATCACAAACGATCCTACCCATGGTTTACATACGGAAGTTGTGCCTGATAGTGATCCATAAAAATAGAAATATTACAGATAGGCTAGCTTGTGCTTCGAAAGCAATTTATGATATAAAAATGATGAAATCTGTAAAATATACACTTTCTAAAAAAATGATTGTATGTTGTTTTTACGTCTCATTCGAGAATTTTTCACTCATGTAGTGACTTCACCATATACCGGTGACGGCCTTTAAATTGATAACTTTACTTGGCACTCAGAGCAATTAAGCAGTGAGGAAACTTTATCATGACACGGGGAGTTGATTCTTACGTCG